CTACATGTTTGCAGTGTATGCGTCTGATTTGGGGCTTATCGTTAATTCCTAATTTTTGGTTCCCGATACGAATCTAACCATGGATGCCACCCATTCATTCAAGAGCACCTACTATGAGCCAGGCACTGTCCTAGGTGCCTTTATGGAGCTTCCGTTCTAGAGGGGGAGAGGACATGGTAAATGTTGACCAAATTGTACTAGCCATTGGTGTCATTCTCTCAACAGTTCCAGTTCTCCCTGTCCTAGGTAGCAGGATTTTACTCCCTGGCCTTCTTAGGGTTGAGTGAAACCATGTGGCCAGTCCTGGCAATTAATGGTGAGAAGTGACGTGTTATTCTGGGCCAGAACTTTTAATGGCAGATGTGAGACCCTTCGGAGTGTTCCTTCTGCCCCCTGACATGGCAACCAGAAACATTTCACACTGAGGCTGTGCAGTCAGCCCAGATCCCCGAGACATGCAGCATGAGTGAGAAATGAACATTCGTTTTTCTAAGTCACTGAGACTTTGGGGGTGTTTCTTGCCACAGCATGACCTGGCCTATTCTGATACAACGATTAAAAAAAAAAAACCAGGGAAATAATATAATTACATAGATTGCCAGAAGGAGATCAGAGCTCCGGGGAAAAGAAAAAATTGGGTAGGATAAGTGTGGAAGGGTGGGGGGGTAGATGGAAGGGCAAACAAGGTGGGCTTCGCTGAGAAAGTGGTCTTGGAGAAGGAAGCACGCCGTGCAGGTGTCCACAGAGAAGAGTATCCCAGGCAGGGGGAACGATCAGAACAAAGGCTGCAGGCATGTCTGATGGTTGATGTGACTGAGACGGGCTTTGGGGAGAGGTCAGGGAAGTAACAGAGCATCATCACATGGGGCCTTGGGGTCATGTAAGGATGTTGCCATGTTCTCTGAGTGAAAGGGGAGCCATCGTAGGGGTGTGAGCTCAAACACAACATGATGCGATTCACATTTTCAAAGGATCAGTCCAGCCTCTGGGCTGAGACGAGACAGTGAGTGGGGGTGGGGCAGGATGGAAACGGGGAGGCCCAGTAAGAGGCTACTGTGTATTGCAGGTGAACATTATTGGTGGCTCATGAGCGGTGGTGCCAGCAGAGGTGATGAGAGGAGGTCCGATGGTCAGATCCTGGATGTAGTTTGAAGATGGAACCAGGAGATTTCCTGATAGATTGGATGAGGAATGGGACGGATTCAGGGTTTTTGGCATCATCAAATAGGAAGATGGGATTGCCATCAGCTAAGGGTGGGGGAGGTTGCGGATGGAGGAGGTTTTGGGGGGAAGAGGAGGAGTTTGGCCATGTTAAGTTTAAAATGTCCATTAGACCCCCAAGCGAGGATATGTGGGGAGCACTGAATATATGAGCCCGGAGCTGGGAGAATATAAACTTGAGAATAGTTGATGGAAAGATGGTATCAACAGTTTAAGGTTTTAAAACATTTTGGCTGGTTATAAAGAGAAACTTTTAAGTGCAGCATTTTATACACACAGACACGGGGCTGATTCTAAGGACTTTAGGTGAGAATTATGGAAGATGAGGGTAGCTTACCTTTGATGGTGTCAGAGGAGTTTTGTTCTCTTTTAGGAATGTCAAGGGCATGATCCATTACATCATGCAATGTTCCCTCCACCCCTTCATCTTCTTTTGAAAATTTTTTAAAGATTTTATTCATCAGAGAGAGAGAGAGAGAGAGTGTGCAAGCACACAAGCAGGGGAAGCGGCAGGCAGAGGGAGAAGCAGGATCCCTGCAGAGCAAGGAGCCTGATGTGGGGCTCGATCGCAGGACCCTGGGATCTTGACCTGAGCCGAAAGCAGACGCTTAACTGGTTGAGCCACCCAGGCACCCTCCTTCGTCTTTTTTCTAAATCCTGGGAAAAGCTCTGCTTTCCCTGAGGAAATGAATATGCTTCCTCTTTCCCCAAAATGAAAATCATGAAAAGAGTGTGTGTCTCTTTTCTCTTTAGCTGCCAGGGAGCTCAGAGTCAAATTAGAAACTCAACTGTAATACATTAACCACTTGGGCCTGTAGGGTCTGCATATTTGTGTTTTTACTTTCCCCTACCTTGACTTCCTACTTTTAATTCCCAGTCTTAGTTTTAAAGTTTTTACTTTATCAAACCTGTTCTTGCTAGAATTGTCTCACATCTCTATGGAATGAGGGGGGAGTGTAAAAAAACAAACAAAAAAAAGAAGTAAGCATAATTGAATAAATTTGCTTTTTAATAACAATACAACTCATTTATAAGTAAAAAGGATATTGGAAATTTGTCTCTAAAGTAATTTTCTATGTGCAGAGTTGTATATTCCAGCTGACTTTCATTATAAAATTGAAAATGTGTTCCTTAAGGAAAAAGAATGCTAGTCCCGAAATGTTATAAGAATCACTTTAAAATTGCAGCAAATAGATAAATTCACATATTTTAAAGCAAATAAACAAGTTATTGCAAGATTCTGAGAATAACATGCAAAAGAGGTCAAAATACAAAATGCAAAAGAACTAGAGTTGTTTTTATGTTTTAGTCCAGCGGTTTAAAAGTTGCAGGGGAAGGATGTGAGTTTTCCTAACAGGACACACTGTTCAATGACACTGCAGAGCCCGTGCTTTCTGGAATCTGCTGAAGCAGAAATTCTCAGACTTCAGGCAGCCTACTGTACCTTCACCTACCTACAGGCGCCTGTATTATTAGTCTGTCAGTATTGCTTCTTCAATTCCTTTTCTAAACTCAAACTTATTTAAAGAGGAAACAGTTTAAGTAATATGCCAAAGGTATACATTCATGGGTTTCCTACTTTCTTAAAGCCCATGAAAATCAATTCATAAATATGAGAATTAAAAACTACATGGGGGCGCCTGGGTGGCTCAGTCGTTAAGCGTCTGCCTTCGGCTCAGGCCATGGTCCCAGGGTCCTGGGATCGAGCCCCGCATCAGGCTCCTTGCTCTGCGGGAAGCCTGCTCTCCCTCTCCTGCTCCCCTTGCTTGTGTTCCTCCTCTTGCTGTATCTCTCTCTGTCAAATAAATAAAATCTTAAAAAACAAAAACAAAACAAAAAAAACTACATGGTGTGGGGCTCCTGGGTGGTTCAGTCATTTAAGCATCTTGGTTTTGGCTCAGGTCATGATCTCAGGGTCATGAGATCGAGCCCTGTGCCTGGATCCACCCTCAGCAGGGAGTCTGAGATTCTCTCTCTCCCTCTGCCCTGCCCCCCCATTCATGCACGCTCTCTCTCTCTCAAATAAATCTTTAAAAAGATCTTAAATAAATCTTTAAAAGAAAGTTTAAAAAGATTACATGGTGTGTTCCCCTAAAAGCACCTCCTCCAGCCCCACGCTGCCCAGACGGCATGTGGGGGTTCTGTCCCAGAGGGTAGCTCTGTCCAGGGCTGCTCCCCGCCTTTGGAATTAGCAGTGAATCTTGAAAACAACTCAATAACCTCAGCTGAAGGGAAGAGGGGCCCTGGCATTGGCTGAGGTACTCATAAAAATGATTCAGCTGGGGGAGAGGAAGCCTCCCCCTAATTCAAGAGAAAATGAGGTGAAGTGGGGATGCTCTTGTTGAAACACACATAAGGAAGTCCTTAGTGTGATTGCTGAATACAGACCTTGAGGAAGATCTTAAGAAAGCCGGCTTGGGAAGAGGACACCCATGGTAATGTGGCCGCCATCAGTATCCATGCGCCTCCAGGTCTGAGCGGTTATGATGCTCACCCATTTTGGCCAGCTGTAGGAAAGCATCCTACGTGTCTAATAGTCTTATACCTGGCTTTTAGAACAGGGCTCCTCCACTGTGGTCCCCGGGCCGGCAGCATCAGCGTTACCTGGGAACCTGTTAGAAATCAGATTCGAGGGGGGCGCCTGGGTGGCTCAGTCGGTTAGGCCGTCTGACTCTTGATTTCGGCTCAGGTCATGATCTCAGGGTTGTGGGATCCAGCGCCACGTCGGGCTCCGCGCTGAGCATGGGGTCTGCTTGGGATTCTCTCTCCTTCTCCCTCTACCCCCCACCCCCTGCTTGTGCATGCTCTCTCTCTCTCTTAAAAAAAAAAAATTGGATTCTTGGGCCCCACTCTGGAGCGATGAGGTCTACCCAGCCCTCCAGGGATTCTGATGGATGCTGAAGTTTGAGAACCACTATTCTAGATTGGTGCCCCATTTTTGTATAGTAAATAGAAGGCTATCAGCAAGAAGATATGAGTTCTAGTCTGCATCTATAGCCAATTAACTGTCACGTAATGTAAAAAAAAAAAATCCCTCGGAGCCTCAGTTTCCCCATTTGTAATGTGAGGAAGAGGTTCCCAGCCCTGCTGGCACAGTAGGATCACCCGGGCTACATTTTAAATTCCAATGCTACTGTACCAAAGAATCCATACCATATAATTCTATTTATCTTAGGTTCTCGAACAGGCAAAAACTGATCTATGATGAGAACAATCACAACATGCCTGGGATAGAGGACTGGTGGGTTCACTGGGAAGAGGCAGGAGGGACATTTCTGGGGTGATAGTACTGTTCTGTCTTGCTGGGAATAGGGGTTACAGAGGTGTACGCGTTTGTCAAAATCTATTGAATGGTACACTTGAGATTGTTTTATACATATTTTGCCTCAAAGGGGAGAAAAGACTGTAAACAAACACTGGATTCTAAATAATATTTGTGCTGAAGTATTTATGGGTGAAATGCATTGACATTACATCTCATTTTGAAATGCATCAAAAAATAAGATGGCTTGCCGGATGGATAGAGGAATGGAGGGTCAGTTAAATTCTTTGAATTTTTCATTAGGTCTGAAAATACATATTTATAATAAAATGTTGGAGGGAAATTCTGATGCTGGTGCCCACACTCACATCTATTAAATCGGGATCTTTCCTAAACTGAGACTTCTACCATTGGAGGGAGATACATTTCTCAAGGGTAACAGGTTCTAAGCCATTGATGTACCAGGGAGAAGAGACACATCGGGAGATTGTTGGGTTTTATTCCCGACAATGAATTTATTGGGCTGGAATCTTCCCACAGGTAACAATAATGGGAAAGGAATGGGAAATGCACCTGGGCTTCGTTGTTGTTCCAACTGCCCCAACCCCTCAGCTGCAGGCATTCGGTGACCCGTGGCCACCTGGTCTCCAGGTGCAACGTTTTGCGGGTGCTCTCCATGGAACTTCTTGCCTCAGCCACCAGGGGGAGTTCTCAACCCAGCAGTTGCCTGAAGCTCCTGCAATGTTCAAACCCAGGGCTCAGAAAGATTATGTGTCCCTCTCAGGGTCCTGGAGGGCTATTCCCGCCATGCTCTGCTTCCCCTGTTATTTCGGTCACCCGCGAAGGACCAAGCGCCTCGCACCCTCCTTCCAGACCGGCGCATTCTCTAATCGGACTCAATGCACCTCCTCACCCCCATCCTTCTCACCCTCCCGAGCTGGGCTGACGGCACCATCTGTAGCCAGCAAACTCCCCAGAGCCTCTCGAGCCTTGGCCTCTTCTAAGAAGCTTCTCCTCACTCTTACCTGGTTCACCGCCTCACCTGGTGCCTTCCGCGGGGGGCTGGGGGGGCTTTCTTCTCTGACGCCCCACAAAGCCCTGAGGCTAAGGTGGGCTCAGCCTCCTCCATGCTTGCCAAGGCTGCTTCTAAGACATTTCTCTTCCCTTCTCACTCGAGACCCAGCCACATCACCTGCTGTCACTCCCGGTGGCTGCCATCTGCTGGTCTCGGGGTCACCAACGACCTCCACTTCTGCTGTTTCCTCCATACTCCGCCTGTCCTCTTCTCAACAACCCTACAGATGGCCATACTCCTCCTTGGCCTCCTGCTATCTTGTCTTGCTCACCTCCAGGGATCTCGGCCAACACTCTGTCCCCGCCGCCCCTTCCCGTGGCCCAGGGACACTGCCCACGTCGGGGGGGGGGCGGCGGGGGAGGGAGACTTCGAGCACCCCCACCCGCACCTGCCCCTGCACTCCACCGGCCCATCCACACTCCCTTCATGGCCTCACTGTGCCCCCATGTGACCACCGCCCTCCTCCCTCTCCACTGCCCCCCCATCCTGCTCCCGCACCTGCACCTTGGCGGCCAGCATCCCTGGGGAAAGCAGTCGATCAGGGGGACGCCTTCCACTTTAAATTCATGCTCAGGGACCTAGGGGTACTTCAGGCAGCCCCACTGCTGGCTCGCACTCCCGCAGGACAGCTTCATACCTCCTCTCCTCGTCTCCCCGAGCCGCCCTCGCTCCCGCCCTCCCTCCCTTCTGCTCCGAGGAGCCACATCTGACTTGGTGGAGAAATTCGAAGCCAGCGGAGTGAGCTCTCTGTCTTCCTACCCCCGTCTGCACCTCTCGGCATTCCTGCTGTCAAGGCGGAAGAATCCTGGAAGAATCGTGCCTTCTCCGCTAGGAAGCCAGCTGCCCCGCCTGCCCCACCGCCCCCAGCTCTGGGTCCCATACCTTCTTGCTTGCTCCGGCTTGTCCCCATTTTCTTGTCAACAGGAGGCTTTCACTGGAGGGTGAAGAAGTGGCTCTTTAGTTGGAGACCCAATGTCACTCAGCTTTCCGTAAAGAGGATTTTTTCTAATTGTCACCTGGCTAGGGATGGAGCAGGGTTGTGGGGGGGAGGTCTACTCTTGGTACACAGTCTCGCAGGTGACCTCTGGCCTACGGTGCATGCATGTCCTCTTCAGGGTGGCTTCCTGGAAGTAATGAGCTCTGACACAGAACAGCATCTTGGAACTCTCGCAGCCATGTCCTCATCCAACCCTCCACCCGGTTCAATCATTCCCACCGCTGCCAGGTGAAAAGGGGACACCTCTGTGTCCAGGCAGGATATACCTGAGATGGTACATCGAGAGCACCTCGCTCTTCCAGGACAGCCCCACGCAGGTCCCTAAGCGAGCACATCCAAGGCTGCTGCTCCCACCGTCATTCACTCATGCTGGGGATAGGGAGGTACCCTGGATGTCCCTCGCCGTCGGGGTAGGCAGGGTGGTCAGAGACACACAGCAGAATGTCGTGCAGACAGAGTCAGGGCTCACAGGTTAGATGTGCACACAGCAGCATCTCCAAGCCTAGTGTTGCCTGAACACAGGAAGAAACCCCAGAAGGCCCATCACCATTTGTGTTCGTTAAAACAACACAAAACAACAATGCAGGTGTTTCAGAATACCCGCGAATAAAAGTGTACACCTGGAACCCATCAGAAGGGCTATCTGTGGCAGGGGGGAGGCAGACAGACAGATGGGGGTGGGGTCTGCCACGGGGCTGTGTTGATGTGGGTCGTGGCTCTGATGCCCTCAGTCCTAAGCCGGCTCACCTGCCCTGCCGTCCCTGTCTGACTCAGCGAGGGGACCTCCCTGTGCCTTCTGCTCCAGGGCTCCCCTGCAAGGACCAATCACAGGTGCAGCTCACAGGCCCGGGCTTTCCTGGGTCTCACGGCCCCTCAGAAACAGGGTTCTGTTGGTAAAAGCGGAGAAGCCACTCCTTACTGGGACCATACCCGAGGTCCCACCCAGTGAGGAAAAGAAGCCTCCAGCACAATCCCACAGAGACCCAGGCCTGGCCCACGAGTCCCTGGGGTCTAGCTGGCCCCATCTCAGGGGGCCATCTGGCTTGTGTGTAAGAGTAGGGGTTGGGACACCTCAGAAGGGTATTGTCCCCTCTGCCTGTGACATGGGCCACAAAGGCTGGTTTCCTGGAGTCCCAGAGATAGTGAGTTGGAACTGTCAAGGTCTGGGGATGTCCTGATTCCTCTTGCTTGCAGTCCTGTGGTCTTATACCAATGGGCTTCCCGGGTTCAGTGTGGCTGATGCCAAGCCACCAACGTGGTTAGGAGCTGGGAAGAGATGCACACTGTTGGCTCTTGGGAGTCTGGTGGGGCCGCCTTCCGCTGCCCGTGGCCTGCCGGAGGTGGCAGGAGGGGACAGAGCCCCGAGGAGCAGTGAGCGGAAGGCTCCACCTGTCAGAAGCTGAGGACCTCTCTGGTTCGGGGCAGAGTGACTCTCATTTAAGCTAGACCTGAGGAAAATGCTTAACGAGAAAGCTGTCCTCCGTGGGCCTCAGGAGGGAAGTTGAGGTTTTGTCTACTTTTATGTAGCAATCCACCAGGACTGGATGTTCTCACTGGAATGCAGGTAAAACAGGACAGACTTGGGTTTGCTGGTGAGAACTTCCGTTTCCAGAGCCATGGGACACGTGTCAGACCTTTCCACGGAGTGCATCAGAAAACAGGGAGACTGCTGTCATTTCTGTACAAATGAAGCTCAAGTGCTTCCCTCTGTAGAAACTTCTCGTTAAAAAAGAGGGTAAAACTCTGATCTCCAGGTATGAATTCCCTGTTTCTTGCTGGTGAATTAATTGCTTCCCACCTTGTAATATTTACAGAGTACTGATGGCATGTTGAGGGGGAAGAGGAAAAAGATCTCTTGAAAAGGAGGAATTTTTAGGCACAAAAAAGAAACTCTAAATAGGTTCTCCAGAAGAACAGAACCAATAGGAGATAGATCTGTGCACACTCTCACCTGTGATCCAGTCAGGTTGATACGTAAAGTCAACCATCACAGAAACTGTGTCTGCTAAGTGAGACAAGGTGTGATTTGGCCTTGAAAAGGAGCAGACACAGATGGTGGGTGACTGCCATGTGCTGAGGCTGGGTAAAAAGCCCCGAATGGCTGCATAGGAGGACTCCTGGATGTGCACTTAGTGGGTCCTTCTAGAACCTTCTAGGAATTGTTCCTCTAGCACATCTTGGCACTGAAAAGCACACTTCAAGCTTTGCCAGGATTCCACGGGATCCCAATAGAACTGGAAAGCAGAAATGGTTGGTTTTCTTTAAACTGAAATTTTAAAAATGTTCCCATGATTCATTTACAAAGCGGTTCATTTAATAATCACTTCGAGCCACCAACAGTTTCACTGTTTTTCCAAAAAATCCTTTTCTAATGGGCCAACCGTGAGATGCTAGCCTTGTGTTGCCTGATGCAGAATCCTCAGCCAAGGATGAGCTGACACCCACATTTTTGGGTTCTTCATCCCATAGGAGGCCGGGTGCTACATGGTCTGACCCCACTCCTTCCCACCTGTGAGGCCCACTTCTCACAGGTGCCACGGCACGACCTGGTCATCCTCTCTGGGCTGCTGCTTTGGGAAAGACGGCCAAGTGGGCACTGCAATCCCGCTCCTTTCTAGACTTCAGAGTAGGGCTGGTGCTGTGCACTGAATGTCCGTGCCCCCAATCCCCCACCCAAACTCACACGTGGAATCCTAACCCCTGAGGTGACGGTATGAGGAGGTGAGGCCTTTGGGAGGTGATTAGGTCACAGGGGTGGAACCGTCGTGAATGGGATTAGTGCCCTTCGAGAAAAGACCCCAAAGAGCTCACGCGCCCCTTCGGCTCTGTGAGGACACAGCAGGAGGGTACAGTGACATCATGAACCAGAAAGCAGGCCCTCACCACGTCCTGAATCTGCTGGCACCTTAATCTTGGGCTGCCCAGCCTCCAGAGCTGTGAGACCTAAGTTTCTGTGGTTTATAAGCTCCCTGGTCTGGGCTATTTCTGTTATAGCAGCCGGGATAGCAGACCCAGGTGGGAAGGGGCTGCCCAGCCGGTCTCCATTTCCCAGCAGCGCCCTGCCCCCTTATATTTGGGTGGGGGGCCTGGGTGTGGCAGGTTGTATTTCCCCCCCAAATGATGTCGACACTATTTCTGGTCTCGTCTGTTCTTGCTGCTCTTCCATCAAGAAGTGGAATCTATGTCCTCCTTGCACGGGGCGAGGGTCTTTGTGACAGCCTCATCCAGCCGAGTGAGTAGACGTAATAATGCTCTACGACTTACTTCCAAGGCGGGGACGCAGAAGGTGGTGCAACTCCCACCTGGCCCTCTCCCCCGTGACACGTGTTCTTGGGAGCCCTGAGCCGCCGTGCCTGAGCTGGGCTGTCCGGGAGCCGACCTGCTGGAGAGACCACATGGAGATCAAGGCGCACGAGGCCCTGTTGACTCTTTCCAAGCCTGCACCAGACATGTGACTGAGGAAGCCTTCTCCAGGACAGTCCTCCCTCCCTGCCCCCCACTTGCCACTGCACCCGTGGGCGAGACCCCCCTGAGCAGAACCGCCCTGCTGATCCCAGATTACCCTGCATTCGCGGGCAAAAAATGATCCGTTATTGTCTTAAGCCACTGTTTCCGCGTGGCTTGTCGCACAAAAATAGATAACCATAATACCACGCGAAGGGGAGTGAGATGGGTCATTTCCGGATCGAGGTGTTTAAGAAGTAGGGAGGCCGTATGGCCCGGTTTGCACAGACTCAGTGACACCTATTGCCTTGGCCTAATTATTTTTTTTTGAGATTTTATTCATTTATTTATCTTTAGAGAGAGAGAAAGAGAGAGAAAGAACGAGAGCATGAGAGCAGGAGGAGGGGCAGAGGGAGAGAGAGAGAGAATCTCAAGCAGACTCCATGTTGAGTGTGGAGCCCGACGCGGGGCTCAATCTCACGACCCTGAGATCATGACCTGAGCCAAAATCAAGAGTCGGATGCTCAACTGCTCAAGTGGCCCCCCTGCGCTAATTCTTAATAACGCCCCCTTTCACTCTCAGAAGTGCCTCAGTTTGGGAGGTACGTTATATGGTCGCCCTGTTCAGAACCAGACGTGCCTTGGGTTGGGTTGGGTTGGGTTGGTGTAGACAAAAACAGTGACCTTGGAAGAGCCACAGGTGGAAGGCACCTGGGCCACCGCATCATGGCGTTGAGGAGAACCAGCCATGGCTCCAGACCCCCGTTCACGACTCTACGTGAACGAGACATAAACTGTCAAAGGGAGTCATTTTTTGGATTCATGACACAGTTTGTTACAGTAACTACTGTTACCCTGAAATTAGTTATGAGCAAAAATGAGAAATCGCCATCCTGGTTTACAAAACAAGAGTAAGGGTATCAGTGTCGGGAATCTGAGCCCATTCACTTTCTACCTACAGACTCCTAAATTACGTGAATCCATGGTCAGTGTTATGCAATTTCTATGAACAAATAAATCTTTTCTTTTTTTTAAACCACGTATCGTGAGTGTGGACAATGTTTCCGCCTGCTTTCTTCCCAGTTCTTGCTTTAAAAGATCAGATGTGCTGGTGACAGCGGATTCTTACGTTTTAAAGGAAGAAAAAAAACCCTCAT